GCAGTACCCTTTCCGATTTTCATGAACGCAAGTTCAATTTCACTTTGTGCGTCATGTTAATCTATAGACAAAATCAAAGAGAGATGCCGTACAACTTTCTGCCTATCTTGATTTGTAAATGTTCTGGTTACATGTACAGTGTTCTCCTCGGGCCTGCGTCGCTTAGACAATAGCTGTGTAACTTTCGTTTCGCCCGCAATTCTGCAGTGTTCTCATCAGGTCTTTTAAGGGTATCGGGTCCGATACTGTTCTTTCTTTCCACGATACTGTTTCCCTCAAGCTGGGCCATTTCCAGGCCATTGTTTTGCAATGATGAATCAGAACAGAACAATTCGTGTGAAGTGATCGATTTTAACTTGTTATCTGGATACTCACTGGATACTGGTATTCACCTGCGGATACTTCGGCCTACTTTCAAGCATGAATATAGAAGGAAATCAACGAATGGATTTTTTTTCAGTATCGTTCCAGACTTTGCAAGAAATTTATATAATAATCACAGTGATCACTACTATTGGGTTCAAAAATGATTTATGATCATTCAAAATATAGTGGCCATGGCTGTCGGTTCAACCCAGTACTGACCTTCACCGCTATTGCGATGCCACGAGCGGAGAAAAGGAAAGCTGAATCCCCGCGTCTACACTTAATCCATGTATAAGACAGACACCCGACAGCAACAGCAAGGAAGTTTGTCAGTTTTATTCAAGATATAAATTTTCTATTTTACGCATTGGAGCTACACAATGTGACTGAAAGCACTTCCAATGTGATCTAATTTGTAAACAATCTCTTTGCACACGACTCCCAGTGTCTTCTCCTCGAGCAGACAGTAATGTTTCACATTTGTTTTCGCATGGTTTCCATCTTACTCAAATAAAACAAAGCAGTTGATTCCTATTTTACTTAGTGTTTATTCTTGTTTGATATTTTTAAACAAAAATGCACTTAAACAAATAGTAAATATGCAAGTTTTTTGTTTTTGCCGAACGAGGACAAGGAAGACAAAATGACGGTAGTTTTGTGTAGGGTCGATCGTGATCTTCGGTTTGTATCAAAAGCACGTCTCACAAATGAAATATTTTATTTTCGAGCGATAATTTGATAGCAATTAAACAAATTTCAATCGTTGGCGTATGTAAGGGCTGGATCACTTACTTTCAAGGGCTCAAAGTCCGGACGAACATTAAACTACACTGTTTTTATTTATCTGTTCTAGGTATGTTGTACAGACTTTTTAGTAGTACTATTTTGATGATTTAATTTCAAGAATCTGTCGAGGAAACAATCTGTTGTTACTTTACATGTTCACGTAGGTTTAATTTAGCAGATTTTACTTACTTTACATTGTAAAATTGATTTTACTTTCCTGCGGTATTTAAAACTAAAAATTTGCATTCCAGCTCAGCGGTCAATCAGCGACGGCCTAACGCTTAGATGACAATTTCGGTTTCAAATACCCCGGCTTAGTGTTCCAGGTTCTTCGCGTAATTAGGTGTTCGTATACAAGGGATTTTTGCACACAAAAACGACGAATTCGGCCGAATTTTCTTATCGGTTGGCTTAATATAACCCCAACGGACCGTATTTTTGTGAAAGATTGGTATTTTTATCCTGATTTGTAGGAATCTGAAAAACGCGTTTCACAACTTGTCTCTTATTTAGTTTTATGCGTCATTCAAGATGGCGGCCCCCATATAGTAAATATTGTATTTATTTTATTATCACGTGTGCGCCAGCTGACTGTGCATACATGTACCTTTATAATACCGTACATGCTCTGATCACACGGGAGCTATTTACAGTTTAACTTTGATTAGATCGGATGTTAACTTTGTTGAATGGAGCTTATCATATGAGTGATTATACGTTGTCGTCTGAGGAAACTTTTGACTTTTTCTTGAAACCACAAGCCTGAATGCTTTGATACTTGCTGTATATGTACCTTGGGTAGACCTCACTTAGATTTGTTCGGTATCCATGTCAACTTTTTAGCTCAGCTTTCGTCTTTGCCGAGCGGAGCTAATCATATTACTGATTGTCTGTCATCATACCATCATATCATATGGGTGGACTTCTGTCAGATTTTTTTTTTTTTTGTGACGGTGTCTTAAATTCTCTATTTTGTTATTTTTGGTAAAAAATGCTATTTTTGACTTCTTGTTGTAAACTACCATCTCAATGAATATGGTAATGAACCTTTGATAGCAATACCCCTGGTGACATATTGGAGATGACAGTGATATCTAGTTCAGTGCAAAGAATTATGAGTGATACAACTTTTTAGTGATTGTTGTACCTCATGACATATTAGGGAATATAGTGTAATTGGGTGCAAAGCAATGAATTATGGGTTTCTCTGGTCCCCAGCAAAACGAGACATTGATGAATAACTAGAAAAACAAGGCCTGTGTATAGGCAATGCCATGTCTTATGTCAGCCCTGAACCAAACACTCTGGATAACTGGGAAACAAGGCCTGTGTATAGACATCACCATGTCTTGTGTCAGCCCTGAACCAAACACTCTGTTCCCCAGCAAGACGAGACAATGATGGATAACTGAAAAACAAGGCCTGTGTATAGACATCGCCATGTCTTGTGTCAGCCCTGAACCAAACACTCTTGTCCCAAGCAAGACCAGACAATGAAAACAAGGCCGATGTATTGGCATTGCCATGTCTTATGTCAGCCCTGAAACAAACACTCTGGATAACTGGGAAACAAGGCCTGTGTATAGGCATTGCCGTGTCTCATGGCAGCCATGACCCAAACACTCGGGTCCCCAGCAAGACCAGACAATGATGGATAACTGAAAAAACAAGGTGTGTATAGGCATTGCCGTGTCTTATGTCAGGCCTGAACCAAACACCCCGGTCTCCAGCAAGACCAGACAATAATGGATAATATGAAAACATGGCTTGTGTATATACATCGCCATGTTTTATGTCAGCCCTGAACAAAACACTCTGGTCCCCAGCAAGGCCTGACAATGATGGATAACAGGAAAACAAGGCCTGTGTATAGGCATTGTCATGTCTTGTGTCAGCCCTGAACCAAACACTCTGGTCTCCAGCAAGACCAGACAATGATGGATAACTGGAAAAATAAAGCCTGTGTATAGGCATTGCCATGTCTTATGTCAACCCTGAACCAAACACTCTGGTCTCCAGCAAGACCAGACAACGATGGATAACAGGAAAGGTCTGTGTGTAGACATCGCCTTGTCTTATGTCAACCCGGAACCGAACACTTAGGTACTCAGCAAGACCAAACAATAATGGATAACAGGAAAACAAGGCCTGCGAATAGACATTGCCATGTCTTATGTCAGCCCCGAACCTAACACTCTGGTCCGGAGCAAGACCAGACTATGATGGATAACTGAAAAACAAGGCCTGTGTATAGGCATTTCCGTGTCTTATGTCAACCCGAACCAAACACTCTTATCCCCAACAAGACCAGACAATGATGGATAACAGGAAAACAAGGCCTGCGAATAGACATCGCCATGTATTATGTCAGCCCTGAACAAAACACTCTTTTCCCCAGCAAGACCAGACAAAGATGGACCACTGGGAAACAAGGCCTGTGTATAGGCATTGCAGTGTCTTACGTCAGCCCTAACCCAAACACTCTGATCCCCAGTAAGACCAGACAATGATGGATAACTGGAAAAGAAGGTCTGTGTATAGGCATTGCCATGTCTTATGTCAGCCCTGAACCAAACACTCTGGTCCCAAGCAAGACCAGCCAATGGTGGATAACTGAAAAAACAAGGAGTGTATATATATCGCCATGTCTTATGTCAGCCCTGAACCAAACACTCTGGTCTCAAGCAGGACCAGACATTGATGGATAACTAGAAAACAAGGAGTGTATAGATATCGCCATGTCTTATGTCTGCCCTGAACCTAACACTCTGGTCCCCAGCAAGACCAGACAATAATGGATAACAGGAAAACAAGGCCTGTGTATAGACATCGCCATGTCTTATGTCAGTCCTGAACCAAACACTCTGGTCCCCATCAAGATCAGACAATGATGGATAACTGGAAAACAAAGCATGTGTATAGGCATTGCCATGTCTTATGTCAGCCCTGAACAAAACACTCTTGTCCCCAGCAAGACCAAACAATAATGGTAAACAGAAAAACAAGGCCTGCATATAGACATTGCCATGTCTTATGTCAGCCCTGAACCAAA